CAAAAGGGACAATGGATGAAGGCAATAATGGTTACCAAACAGGATACTGATTAAGACTGGGAATGGGCCACCAGATAAAGGACGTTTGGGAGTATTCATTGAGGGCAGATTAGGATGTTAGAACAGCCCAGAACAAGGTTCAAATTAAGACTCAAAAAAGGTAAGCAGTGTTTTGGGGTGGTAGTTGGACTTTGACCCGGAAGACCTGAATTCAAAACCAAGCAATGGATTTACTGGGTGGCTTGTCATGGTTTCCTGTCATGAATTCTAGTAGGTGAAGGTAAAAATAAGGGCCTCACTCCAAAAGGTGCAGGGATAAAAGAGATAAAGAATTGCTGCTACCTGTCTGACGCCTTGGGGAAAGGATGGGCTGATCTTTTAAATAATCGAGATAAATGACTTCAATGTAAAATGAAGTTCTTCTTTGAGCATATTAGAACTGAAAACTGAGACATCTGGGCGCTCTGCCCTTGAACAGAAGCTACATTTAACAGAGTGGGGCTGCATAAACACATCACAGTGGCCACCACAGAGTCTGCAGTAACTTCAAGCCTTCAGGGAACACTTAAAAGCCCAAAAAGATCGAGTTCTGAAGAGGCTGCCTGCTTCTCTTCATCTTATTACAATCATTACAACACACTGAAAGCATCCTTAGTCACACACTGTGTTTCAGGCAGTAAGAACAGATATGATGTTAGTTTTATTTTACAAAGTTTATATCCCACCTTTCTGCTCTCCCAATGGCCACAAAGGTGGCTAACAAATTAAAACATACATAACAAAACTACATTTTAAAGCCATTTAAGCCAACCAAAACAGACACATCATTAAAACAATTAGAACTGAAACCAAAATACATACAAAGATATAAAATAACAATTCAAACATTGGGCTGGAAGAAGGCGATCACTGAGGGAACACCAAACGAAACAAAGAAGTCTTCACCTACTGGCAGAAGATGGTAACAGAAGGGGCCAGACGAGAGGGCTGATGCCACAACCAAGAAAGCCCTCGCCATGGTTGCCTCCTGCCAAATCTCAGAAGGCAGGCATACCCAAAGCAGGGTCTCTGAAGGTGACCCAAGAGATCAGACAGCTTCACATGAATGCTCCCAGTAGCTGATCCACAGCAACATTTAATTTATAGTCCATTTTTCTCACTGAGAGTCAAAGTAGATTACAAAAATTATAAAAATAATTCCAGCGCCTTCCTCTAGAGGTTATAATGGCCTTCTGCAATTTTGTAAACTGCCTTGAGTCAACACAAAAGATAAACTATAAAGTAAACAAATACAATTCTGTTCAATACAATACCTCGTTCATTCAGTTAAGCCGCCCTGAGCCCGCAATGCGGGGAGAGCGGGGTATAAATAAAATTAAATAAATAAA